ATCCTTTAAAGACAATTCCCATTCCAAAGTTACCGCTGCTGCTCGGAGCTGTCAGAGCAGGTTAGGAGACAGCAGGAACTGCCTCCTAGAGTCTGGGAGGGGGAGGGTTGGGGGACCAGAGACAAGAGGAGGGAGAGGAGAGGAGAAGAGGCTTCAAAGGAAGAGAGCAGACCTCACAGCGCGGCACCCAGACAGGCGCATGGAAGAAAGTGGCAGCAAAAGAAACCCTGGACTGGACAAAGGCCAGGGAATTTTCAAAGGAGCGACAGAACCTGGTGCTCCGGCTTCCCTGGGCTGCAGTCACCTCCTCTACCCAAAGCCTTCAAAAAAGGCCCGCTCCACGCCGCTGCCTGGAGTGGTTGACTCCGGAAAGGGAGGGAGAGACTGAGGGCATTCCCACCGTGTCTCAATTCAGCCTCCAGAAATGAGAGCAGCAAGGCCAGCTGGAGATGGAGTGGCCAGAAGTGAGGGAGACACCCAGCAGGACTCGGAAGCAACATCTGTGGGCTATTTCCCAGAAATCCTCAGAACTATTTGGAGGGGACTATGTTTCTTGTGTGCAGACAGAGGTAGGATGAGGGCTCACGTTGTTTCCTTTCTCTGAGACAGGGTCTCACTCTGTCATCCAGGCTGGAGTGCAGTGGATCCATCATGGCTCACTGCAGTCTCGACCTCCCAGGCTCAGCCCCCTGGGCAGCGGGGACTACAGGCGTCCATGCCTAGCTAAATTTTCTTTTCTTTTTTGTAGAGACAGAGAAAAAAAAGAAAGGTGGCGATCCTCCCGCCTCAGCCTCCCAAAGTGCCGGGATTATAGGTGTGAGCCACTGCACCCAGCCAGACTTTTTTTTTTTTAAACAGTAGAAATTTAAGGCTCATAAGTACAGGATCAGCACCTGAGAGTGGCTCCTCAGTGGCCTCCCCTGACTCCCCCCTCTCCTCCCTGCCTCTCCCTGTCCCCCCCACCTCCTCCTCCTCGCCCCGGGTCTTCCTCACCTGAGCCTTTTTGTGGTGTTTATGATGTTGAGTCAGATTGTGGGCTTAGAGATAGGGCCAGAGAAAGCAGATGAAGGAAAAAAGACTTGGCCAAAAAGATGAATTCAATTAACTTAATAAATAAGAAGAACGGGAGGCAAAGGTGGCCTCGGGCTGGGGTCCCAGGAGCAGCCTTTCAGGGGAACGGGCCTGTGGAGAAGGTGCTAGAGCCACTACTGTGGGAAGAAAAGGTGGGGGTTTCTGCAGTATTACTGGAAACCATGTCCCTTTCATGGTGTTCAGTGAGAGGACTCAGGCCATTTTGACATTCATTTCGATGGCTCTCACCATGTCTTTGGGTCCCTGATCCCCTCCAGGAAGAGCTGTGGGGTCAGCATCTCGACAAAATCACTCAGGGGAGCCGGTCACCAGCCAATGACCTTGGCTGGTCTCCAGTGACAGCCAGCATCTTCAGGGCATCGAACGTCTCTTCTGGCCCGGCCTGGACCCAGAAGCATCACATGTCCCTGATGGTCCAGTGAGGGAGGGGCCCGAGCTGGAGAGGGCCCAGGAGCCATAGAATACCGTCTCCTCAGGGAGATTTCTAACCCTGGCTGGGCCCTGGTGGAATCCTCAGTGAGACTTCTAGGTGTATCATGTGTCCCTATGCGTTTACTAAAAAAGGTTCCTTATCTTTGGGGTATGGAATAAATGAAGACCACCCAAAGGAGACAAGCCAAGGCTGTTTACTCAGAGCTTGCTGGAGCAAGGGAGTCGGCCAGCATCATTCACATCTGGCGGACTCGAAGGCAGGGAGAGGACAGGGAGAGTTCTAAAGGAAAAGGGAAGGCTCCAGGCATGCCTGCTGGAGGCTGCTGCTGGGGAGCTGGAGGCGTCTCTCTAGAAGTGGGCATTCCACAGGACTGGACAGGGGAGCACATTTGGCTTTCTCTGGCTGGTCCTAGGTTGGAAGCAGGAACAAAAACTAGAGACACTGCCAGTTATTAATGATGCCCTGGCCATTTGGGATAGGCGGCTATAGGGGTGACTTAGTTCAGCTTCCTGGACTATTGGAGGAGAGAGCAGCCTGGCTTCCTGCAAGCCTAGCGCAGCAGGCGGCTTCCCGGGCGGGCTCCCGCAGGTCATGGTTTGGTCTCCTGGGCGGGCTGCCGCAGACTGTGGGGCAGAGTCCTGTGTTTACGGGAGGTCTGGCCATTGTCCACACTGAATATTCAGTCTCAGGAGATCTGGACTAAGACATCCATGGGGAAAGTCAAATGCTGTCTGGGTTTGCTTTAAAATAACCCAGGGCAGGGGGAGCAGGTGAGGGTGCAACCCGAGCCTAGACCGCCATGAGCTGACATCTGTCGAAGCAGGGGATGGATCCATGGGGGTTCGCAGACTATCCTCACTGCTTCTGGATATTTTTATGAGATTTCATAACAATCAGTTACAAACAAACAAAAATCCCTGGCCACTGTGAACCCCCAGCATCCTGGGGTACCATCCCGGTGGGCCTCGTGACACTGCCCGATTCCAGACCCTTCCATGCTGGAGGACCCTTCCATTCCTTCCATTGGAACATCACAGTGTGCCCTTTGGGAAGGCTTTGCTTAGTGTAACTGTGGTTATGGCTCCAGGGAGTCCCTAAATCTTGCAGCCTATACCCCCTTCCCAGCTCAGAGCCAGTGCCTAGGACTTAGTAGGTCCTCAGGACTAATGTAAATGAATTAGTAAATGAATTGAGTCAAACAAGCCACCGATTAATTGCTTTACTGAAGGTTCCCCGGCTCCCATACCCTGGCTTGTGCTTAGTTTTATGGGACCATCAGTCTCCTCACTGGCTGGAAGCTTCTGGGGTAAGGAGAAGAAACTCATCTTCAGCCCTCCCACAGCACTGCAGAATAGTGCTTGGCAAAAAGGCAGTTAGGAAGTATTTTGGAAACCACTGGGAAATGCCTAAGATGGAGATGTCTTGGTTAACAGTGGCAACGTAAGAGAATTCTGCTTAAGACGGCAAAGCCAAGACTAGCAGGAGAAAATCAGATATTTGAAGGCATCATTACCACTCGCAAAAAGAGCCATAAGGACTCCAAATCAGCAGACAATTTAAAGAGGACATTTAATGAGAGGCCTTGACTGGCAGGCACTGTCTGCAGACAAGGCCACGCATGGCCGAGCCTGCCACGTGCCCACTCGCTCTTCAGAACATTTTACTCCTCGACGAGGCCTGACACCCAGGCCTTTCATCTTCCCTCCACCCGAGTTTCCGTGCCAAGGACCCCAACAAGACACCCTTGAAAGCACTTCAGTGTGGTCTGAAGTATGCTGATAATTAGCAAAATGAAACCCAGAAGGAATTTCCTTAAACTCCCTCCTATCTGTTGAATTTTATAAAGCTACTAAAAACATTTTTATCCTACGAAAAAGCCTTCCCCCAAAAAGCTTATCTTCTGCAGGAAATGAGATAAGCACTTTCTTTCTCAAATCATGTTCCCAGCCCGAAAGGCTGGTGTCCCCACAAGCTGAAGCCACACAGTTCAACTCTTGCAAGACCACAGGGGCGGCTGGGGGACTGAGTCGCCGTGGGGGCGGCCGCCTTGCTGAGGCGGGCTTTCCTTCTCCATCGGACTGCTGTCATAGGCAGACTTGGGGCTGGGGGTCTGTCAAAGTCATACCCCTCTCCCTCTCTCTCTTTTTCTTCTTTTTTTTGTTAACACAGAGTCTCATTCTGTCGCTCAAGCTGGAGTGCAGTGGTATGATCTTGGCTCACTGCAACCTCAGCCTCCTGGGTTTGAGCAATTCTCCCACCTCAGTCTCCCGGGTAGCTAGGAATATAGGCACCCACCACCATGCCCAGCTAATTTTTTTGTGCTTTTTGTAGACATAGGGTTTCACCATGTTGGCCAGGCTGGTCTCGAACTCCTGACTTCAAGTGATCTGCCATCTCAGCCTCCCAAACAGCTGGGATCATAGGTGTGAGCCATCGCGCCTGGCCCATACCCCTCATCTCTGAGAACTGCCATCCCCGCCAACCAGGAGTCTTCATGGCCACGTCTGAGCTCTGTGGCCTCACTGAGCCCTCACAGCACACCCCTCAACAGAGCTGACTGCGCCTGGGACACCTGACCAGCTAGCCTGGGCAGATCCCCCTTCCTGAGGATTTGGTTTTGAAGCTGCCTTTGTGGGTGGTCTGAACCGAGGACACAGGAGACAAGAATGGATTGGTGGTCACGAGTGGCTGGAAGCATGACAAGAAAGAAAAAAGGAAGAAGGAAACCCACCCCACCCACCCAACCAACGAGCACGAAAGACAGGCACCACCAACCACACCCAGACAGAAGAAAGAAGAAAGAAATAGAGTGACTATCTATATGAAAGAAAAAAAAAAAAAGCGAGCCAGACATATACTTTCAGATAGATGTCAAACAAAGAGCGAGCGGGCGGTCAGAAACAAAAAAAACACACACACCGCAAGCAACCCCAACCAACATGAGAGAGACAGACAGAATGAACACGCACCGCACCAAACAGAGGGCGGGCCAGCAAGCAGCCCACCCAGAGCGAAGGGAGACACACCCAACGAACAGAAAAGACACGCGGGCCACCCACGCGACAGACAGACAGACACCCGCCCAACCAACGGCGCAGCCAACCCAGCCAGCCACCCCCGCACGCCACCCACCGCAGCAAGCACTTGCCTCCATGCCTTCACTCGGCTGAGCCTAAGAAGAAAAGAAGCAAGCCTGGACCATTCCACCAGGCGCTTGGACAAAACAGCCTCCTTCACTCAACTTGCGATCCTTTCCCATTGCAAAAACTCACCTCGGTACCCAGCGGGACATGGGCCCAGTAAGGAATTATCTTCTTCCTTCCTTCACATCCTGCCTATGTCTATTTTACTCTAGCATTTTCTTTTACTCAATCAAAAATGAAATGGAACAAACCAAGCAATGGCTGGGTGGCAGTGGGGGTGGCGGTGGGCACTGCCACTGTGTGCCTACCCCTGTCCCCGGGGCCAGTCCTACCTTCCTTTGCAGATAAAGCCTTTTGGCTTTGGTGGCCGTAAGGGAAAACTCGTTTAAGACCAGGTTCTCCAGGGTGAGGAGACTGCTGTTCAGATGTTTGCAGAGCCACATTGCCTGAAGAAAGGAAAGAAGAAAAGAGCATTTTCATAAAAACAATAAATACACAAATAACTCCATTAAAATGCCCAGGTCCTTCCCTCTCCTACGGGAAAAGGTTGGCCATGGGAAAGCACAATTATTTCCAGCTGGAGGAAGGCCACCAAGGGAGATCCACCCAGAAAGCACCTGCCGGCCTAAGAGCCCTGCTCGCAGCATCTCTTCTTCTACCAGCATGGACTTAAATCAAGTGGGAAGACCTACAGGCGGGCTACGTTTTAGCTGCCCTCGACATGCTTTCCAAGCTCTGTGGACCATGAGTTTCATCTCAAGGAAGATTTAGAACAGGAACTTTGAGGACAGAACCTAAGGATGGGTAACAGCCCACACTCAGTATTCTTTTTTTTCTTAAAGATTGGGAGCTGGCATGTGCTGGTCAATGGGATGTTTAGTTCATTGATAATTACTCTATAGTCTGTAACAGAAGAGTAAATTTTAAGGAAGAATAATGAACTAAAACAATCGTGACACCAAAATTGTGCTGATGACCCTTCCAGCCTCGAGATGGTTCTGAAGGCCCTTCCAGGACCCAGGGCTGGTGTGAACCTTCATTCTTCCTGTTTCTGTTGCTGAGACAGAACCTCAGTGACAGCATTGGGAAGAAGCCCTTTTTGACTGTACATCGTCTTATCAGAACTGTGTGTCTCCAAAGGGCACTCAGGAGTGGGGACAGCAATTCACCAAAAGGCTTGCTGTTGAAACACCAGCTGCCGGGGCCTGACCTCGACAGGGAGGACAAACTCGATCACTTCAACCATGTCGGGATGTGCCGAAAGCAAGTCTCTGCCCTCTGAATCTGCTCTGCCCGGCAGATTCCTACCAGGGACCAGAGAAGAGCTAGGACAGGACGAATTCAAATGTCAAAGACAAAAGGAGAGCCTCCCACTGAGCAACCAGACTCTTCCAGAAAAGCGAGTTCAACGAGCTTGTCTGTCTAAATGCAGAATCTGTCATCCTCACTCCCAATGTCAGAATTACCTGGGGAGTGTGTTCTAACTACTAGTTTTTCGGGGCTCTGCTCCAGGAGATTCTGATGAGGTTGGTCTGCAGGGGACTCCAGGAACCTGCATTTTTCATAGCACCCTGGAAATGCCAATGATCAGCAGGTCTGGGAGTTCCTGGCTTCTAATTGTGAAACAGCAAAATGGTTGGACTCAGGTGGGTTAAATGCAGAAACGCATGGAACCCTACAGTCTGATATGGAGGAATCAAATAGAAAAACTATAGACCAACAGGATGAGCAGATGGACAGATGAGTAGAACAGCTATACTAACTCCAAAAGCATAGCCCATGCAGGTTAGTTGAGGCAAGGATCAGTCATTTTAACTCCTTTTCAGAAGAAAGCAAGGTGCCAGTTAAACAGGGGAACAGCCTGCCCCATCCCATCCATGACACATGCTCACAGCGATTATATAGTCACGGAAGAAGGGTTTGCTGATGTTCACCGACCAGGTTTTTAAAAGGTAAAAAGGGTCTCATCTTGGATGAATGAAACTTTAACACGTTTCTGGCACTTAAAAATGGACTTTAGGCCGGGTACAGTGGCTCATGCCTGTAATTCCAGCACTCTGGAAGGCCGAGGCAGGCGGATCACGAGGTCAAGAGATTGAGACAGTCCTGGCCAACATGGTGAAACACTGTCTCTACTGAAAATACAAAAATTAGCTGGGTGTGGTGGCACACGCCTGTAGTCCCAGCTACTCAGGAGGCGGAGGCAGAAGAATCGCTGGAACCCAGGAGGAGAAGGTCACAGTGAGCTAAGATCGCGCCACTGCACTCCAGCCTAGCGACAGAGCGAGACTCCATCACAAAAAATAAAAATAAAAAAATAAAAAGTAAAAAGGGTTCCATCTCAGATGAATGAAATTTTAACACATTTTTGGCACTTAAAAGTGGACCTTAGGCCAGGCGTGGTGGCTCACGTCTGTAATCCCAGCTCTTTGGGAGGCTGAGGTGGGCAGATCACCTGAGGTCAGTTCAATACCAGCCTGGACAACATGGTGAAGCCCCATTTCTACTAAAAATACATAAATTCCCTGGGTGTGGTGGTGCACGCCTGTAGTCCCAGCTAGTCGGGAGGCTGAGGCATGAGAATCGCTTGAACCTAGGAGGCAGAGGTTGCAGCGAGCCCAGATTGCACCACTGTACTCCAGCCTGTGTGACACAGTGAGACTTTGTCTGAAAAAACAAAAAAGGACCTTAAAGACTGAATGTCCTAGAGGCATTCACTGTCTAGAAAATGGCATTCACTGTCCAGAAACTGGTGGTATGTGAAAAAGGGTGGGCGAGGTGGGCCCAGGCATTGCTGTATCTTCAAAGATGCATTTTCTTTAAAATGGGGAGAGAACAAAGCAAATATGGCAACATGTTAAATTTGCGTAACATCTGGGGTTGGGTACATGAATATCGATGATATAGTTTGCTGTCCTTTTCTGACTCTTTTAAATATTTCACAATTAAAATGTTCAGAGTGAATCTTAAGATTCCAAGTCAAAGTCTGTGAAATGTGTGTACTGTTGGACCCAGCACTTCTGCCTCTGGAGATGCATCCTAAGGACATAACGAACGGTGAGCGAGGAGAGCGTGTACACGGGCAAGAAAAAGCCCACGAAGGTGTCTCCAAGCAGGTTAAAGGAATGCTCATCTGTGGATCTCCGGATGGTCGGGGAATTCTATTTTTGGTCTTTTGTAGTTTCTAGGTTTTCTGCTACAAATACACACTACCTTTTGTAATAAGAAGAAAATAAGGAGGAGGAGAAGGAAAAGAAGCAAAGCTCAGTTATGCTGCAAATTCATGGAGGTGCAGTCTCATTCTAGCTCTGGAGGATAAATGAGATATTACAGCATCACAACACTTAATATGATACACTTACTATCGTTGTTTTCCCCGAGGCAGGTGGACCTAATATTACAATCCTGGGCACTGTGGAATAAAAAGATTTGAATGTCACCACTCAACATGACAAGCAGCCTCCCAGGTCTGCGGTACTCGGGGTGTACTTATTTCTTTCCTCCCCAGATTTCATTTTCTGCCAGTGACACGGCCATTTGTAACCCAGCAGCTCAGAGACACTCTTGCCGTGGAACGCATTCTCTGTGTTTAGAGAGGTAAGTGATCACCGAGATGGTTTATTCTTCTACCTCCAAGGGGACATGGACACAGTAACTTGTTTACCAAACTCATAAATATCAAGAACAATTGGGATTTCAAACACCATAAAGCATTTTAAACAGGGACTTTGTCTCCAGTCGCTCTCTCCAATAAGGCTGTAATTTATGCAAATCGACCTTAGAAGCTTTTCTTTATGTTTATGTCTTTTTATTTAGCAAATTGTATTCCCCATGATTTTACAGAGGGAAGTAATGGGGAAAGCCCACTACTTCCCTCTGTATGGGGAAGTGTATGGACCAGATTTCTAAAACCCGAGAAAGGAAAGTCTGCTTTCAAAGATGGACTTTTCTATGCAAATGGAAAACACTGGCAGCTTGTTTGATTTGAGTCCTGGCTGGTTTTGGTCCCACAGAATTCCCAACCCAGGCTACTGACAAGAGTGTGATATGAACCAAGGGCTCCTGAACCTGTGACCGAGAGTCTAGGCTCACCCGGCAGGTGAAGCTCTGGTGGCAGACCCAGGCCCTGGCCATCACGGAAGCTGAGAAGGCATTTTCAGCTTCTGGGGTGGGAGCCAGGGCAGAGATTCAGCAGCCCTGTCTCTGTTCTAGGCCTGTAACCTGGGGCAAGGTTTCCCAGGGCCCTCCCCATGGGGAGAGAAGCCACTGCAGGTGGAAAAACGGCTTGCAGGACAAGTCTGGAAACAAGGTGGCTTTGAGAACATGTGGTCAGGTGAGAGGATGAGGTGAGACAGAGCTAGAGTGGCTGCTGGCGATGGGAAAAGAGCTGACGGGCACGGGAAGAAGGGTGCTGGAAGGCATCACCCTGGGTTGAAATGAAGGGAACAGCAGTGGGGTCTGGACAGATGCATCCACACTGCCCTGCCTGCCCAACACCATCTTGACTGGGCCAGCTGTCCCTCTCCTCGTGGGGAGCCGGTAACCTTGGCCTGGCCCCTGACCCAAGGCGACAGATGAACGGATGTCCACTGCAACTCGCATGAGCCTCTAACGTCTGCACGAGAGCCTGTTCTGGCTGGGCTTCCGGGAGGGAATCTCGTCTCAGCAGAGGAGAGAGGTGTATGGCCTTCTAGTTTGGGGGCAGACACAGAAAAGGAACTAGACAGTGTCCTTTTGGCCAGCAATGTAATGGTTAGCACATCTACACCCAGCTGGCTAATTGGGTTTAAAGAGATCTTTGCCCAAAATCATGGCACCTTCTCATTTTTGGAGGAAGTCAAGGTAACTCACTGAATGATCCTCTCCTCTAACCTCAGAAGCTGTGGACCTTCTTATTCTCCCTATGGCTGTTCCTTCCACGTTCCTGCCTTGCCACCTGTCATTTCCCATCAGGAACGTCCTCCCTTCCCAGCGCCCAGCACCCCCAGCCTCCCACTCCCTCTCCCTCCCTGAGATCCTTGTTCTCACTCCCTGTGGAGGCCCATGATCAAGTGGCGGGCTGCTGCAGCCTTCCACACTGGTGAATGTCAGCCTGCTACTGAGAAACAGGTGGAGTTGCTGTCCCCACAGAAAGAGAAGCTCCCAAGGGCAGAGACCGAGTCTTATCCTCCTGGATCACCCCCATGGCAGCCAGAACTGTGAGGAGTCACATACAGCGACCTTCAGGGCCAACTCCTTGGCTGTCCCCATCTCGTCCTATGGTCACTGTTTGTCACCTGTATCACCACCATTACTACTGCATTACAGAGGGCCCCCTCTGCTGACTGTTTGGCCCCCAAACAGTCAGCATGTTTGGGTACAAGTGCAGAAAATGGATGCAGCTCAAGAAGAAAAGGGGGTTGACTGCTCACACCTATAACCCCAGCACTTTGGGAGGCCGAGATGGATGGATCACTTGAGGTCAGGAGTTCGAGACCAGCCTGGTCAACATGGTGAAACCCCATTTCTACTGAAAATACAAAAAATTAGACAGGTGTGGTGGCACACACCTGTAATCCCAGCTACTCTGGAGGCTGACACAGGAGAATCACTTGAACCTGGGAGGTGGAAGTTGCAGTGAGCCGAGATTGTGCCACTGCACTCCAGCCTGGGCAACACAGCAAGACTCCGTTTCAAAATATCTATATCTATATCTATATCTATCTCTCCATCCCAGCGTGGCTCACAGAGTCCTACACAGGCTGGGAAGCCAGGCCCTCAGGGCTACCCCACAGGAACAACACCCCAAGCAAGGCCACCCAATGGGCTGGGAAGACACCACACAGTGCAGCCCGTGCCCATGATGCTGCTGTCACATGTGGGCACCGTGCCACCATCAACCACGCTGCCCTTCCACCCAGGAAGTAGGCCCTGCGGAGCTGCCAGGTAGTGCTCCGGGCCCTGCCTGTGACTCTTGAGTCTGGACTCCCCTGGCAGGTGAAGCACTGGTAGCGGGCCCAGCCCTGACTGTCATGGAAGCTGGGAAGGTGTTTTTAGCTTCTGGGGTGGGAGCTAGGGTGGGCATTCAGCGGCCCTTTCTCTGTTCTAGGCCTAGGGCCTGGGGCAAGGCCTCCCAGGGCCCTCCCTGTGGGTGAGAGAAGCCATCATAGGAAACAGTGTGGGAAACACTCCTTGCAGGACAAGTGTGGAAATGAGGTGGCTTTGAGGACACATGGTCAGGTGAGAGGATGAGGTGAGATGGGAGCCAGGGTGCCATGGGAGGTTTTGGGGAGGGGTGGCAGGGAGGGTGGTCAAGGGTGGAGGATCCTTGGGCCATGAGGCAGAGCTCTCACTTGGACCATGGGGAGAGCACCTGCTTGGCCAAAGTCAGATGAGGGAGCAGTGGGGAACCTGGGTCTGCTCATGCACCATCGCCTGCTGCCTCTCCAGGGCTCTGACCACAGGCCCTGCTGAAGCTCTCCAGACACAGAGGAGACCCAACAGGGCGCAGGGCGCACAGAGCCCGAGGAGTGGGGAGACGCAGCTCGGCAAGGGCCTTTGGGGAGCAAACCTGACTCCCGAGTCACGCATTCGCCTGAGAGTTCCCGGGCTGGGGGCTGCAGGGGAAACCCTCCCCTTCCAGGTTCCTGTAAGTGGCACCCAAATGGTACACATCTATGAACAGACTTTAAAAGGGGAACATCCACGGCCTTTCTCCCCACCTAATTTCTCCCACACATTTATGTGATTAATTTCAGTTTCTTAAAATCTAACACCTTGAAACTCCAGCCCTGCTCATGAGTAATTATTTATAAACAGTGTCATAAAAGGCTGCTTGACTGCCAAGAGTAATCAACTTCTTCCAACCACTTCAAAGGAAATCAAAAAACCTTTCCATCCACAGATCCTTTTGAGGTTTAACTAGGAGCATGATTTAAAATTCACAAGAAAACCCTTAGGTATTGGAGCTCTAATACACAGCTTTCTTGGACAAACGTTTGATAAAAAACGAAACATACCATTATATACACCATCGCCTGCTTTAATATTGCCCAGGGCTACTGTAAATGCTCACTTTGTACTAAATCTGCTTTTCTGGCGGCGAAGGGGCTGCCAGCCCATGTACCGGGGCTCTCTCTGCTCCCTCGTGTGCTCGCTCACCGGGATGAGCCCGGGGCCTTCTTTCCCTCTACACCAGTCACCAGGCATGTCACTGTGTGTGGCAGTTAACCCCAGGCCCAGGAAGAGAAAGGGCTGAGGTCCTAGCTACAGTTACCACAGGCCGCTGCATGGCTGGAAGGGGGCACAATGATCTGATACACCAGCCCAGGGGAATAAAACACACATTGGATGTCACGGGCCCCTCCAAGCCTCCCGCACTCTTCTAGGACACATGAGGATTGGGCTTAGCTGATTCGAGGCTTCTCCCACTCCTAGAAAAGTCACCAAGGCGGCCGGGCGCAGTGGCTCACGACTGGTAATCCCAGCACTTTGGGAGGCCAAGGTGGGTGGATCATCTGAGGTCAGGAGTTTGAGACCAGCCTGGCCAACATGGTGAAACCCCGTCTCTACTAAAAATACAAAAGTTAGCTGGGCATGGTGGCGGGTGCCTGTAATCCCAGCTAGTCAGGAGGCTGAGGCAGAAGAATCGCTTGAACCTTGGAGGCGGAGGTTGCAGTGAGCCGAGATTGCGCCATTGCATTCCAGTCTGGGCGACAGAGTGAGACTCCGTCTCCAAAACAAACAAACAAAAAACAGAAAAAGAAAAGAAAAGTCACTAAGGCAGGGTAGTCTCCCTTCCTCCTTCCCATTTTTGCTCCACAAGCGTGGGCAGAGAGAGAGAAACCCATGGGTATCACTCTCTCCTTTCCATTTCAGTGGTTGGGACTTGAGCCAAAGGACAAAATGTTCCAACATCCGTAAAAGCTGCCAGCTGAGGGCCTGCGGTGGAGTGCAGGGCTGTGGGAAACAAATGAACTCTCCAAAACAGTGGTTCCTGGGACCCAGCGACTCTACTTCCTGAGAGCATCTGGCCAAAAGCTGGACTCAGCTGTTCAGGAGGACAGACCCCCAGCTAGAGGCTGGCCCCCAGCTAGAGACTGCATGAGGCAGGTCTGGATCCAAGCCCCTGCTCGAGAACAACGGAGCAGGTGCAGTGCAAAGAAAGGAGCAAGGACTCCACGGAGGGAGCTTCGGGAAAGCCCCAGACCTTCGGATGAAGGGAAAGGGGCACTAAGGAGGGTGGGAGGAGGAGACAAAGGGAGGGAGGCAGCAGCGGAGGTGGCTGTCCAGCCAACATCAACTACACTCCATCCAAACCAGAAAGATGATGTTTAAACTTTAAAATCCTGATGAAGTGGACAGTTTGACATTGAAAATTAAAGCTGTACAAAGAGGAGTAAGATCAAAACATAAAGAGATTATTGAATCTGCCTCAAATTTCTTGAAATTCAAGGCTCTTGAGTTTCTGGGCTGGGGAACTACGTAAGCCTTGAAGTAGTGGTTTAAGAACACACAGGGCCGGGCATAGTGGCCCATGCCTGTAATCTCAGTGCTTTGGGAGGCCAAGGCAAGAGGATCACTTGAGCCTAGGAGCAGGGACCAGCCTGGGCAACATAGTGAAACCCTGTCTCTACAAAAAAATTTTAAAATTAGCCAGATGCAATAGCATGTACCTGTAGTCCCAGCTACTCAGGAGGCTGAGGCAGGAGGATCACTTGAGCCCAGGAGGTCAAGGCTATAGTGGGCTGTAATCACCCCACTGTACTCCAGTGTGAGCAACAGAGTGAGACCCTGTTTCTAAAAAGAAAAATAAGAGGGAGGAAAGAAAAAAGAGAAGAACACAGGGCATGCCCCAAGCAGGATTTTCAAACTAACAGCAGAAAATGTCAGTGCAACCTAATTTATGAGAGTTCAAGTGGTTACATTATTATCAAGCACTTTTTTTTTAGACAGAGTCTTACTATATTGCCCAAGTTGGAATGCAGTGGGTATTCAAGATGCAGTTGTGGCACTGTGGTCTCGAACTCCTGGCCTCAAGCGATCCTCCTGTCTCAGCCTCCCAAGTAGCTGGAGCTACAGGTGCACTACCACACCCAGCTTTCAAGCACTTTTTGTTTTTGTTTTTTTAGATAGGGTCTCACTCTGTTGCCCAGGCTGGAGTGCGGTGGTGCGATTTCAGCTCACTGCAACCTCCACCCCCTGGGTTCAAGCGATTCTCCTGCCTCAGCCTCCTGAGTAGCTGGGATTACAGGCATGTGCCACCACGCCCGGTTAATTTTTGTATTTCGTTTTTGTTTTTGAGACGGAGTCTCGCTCTGTCGCCCAGGCTGAGGTGCAGCGGCGCGATCTCGGCTCACTGCAAGCTCCACCTCCCGGGTTCACACCATTCTCCTGCCTCAGCCTCCTGAGTAGCTGGGATTACAGGCATGTGCCACCACGCCCGGTTAATTTTTGTATTTCGTTTTTGTTTTTGAGACGGAGTCTCGCTCTGTCGCCCAGGCTGAGGTGCAGCGGCGCGATCTCGGCTCACTGCAAGCTCCACCTCCCGGGTTCACACCATTCTCCTGCCTCAGCCTCCCCAGTAGCTACTATAGGCACCCGCCACCACGCCTGGCTAATTTTTTTTATTTTTAGTAGAGATGGGATTTCACCATGTTAGCCAGGATGTCTCGATCTCCTGACCTCATGATCTGCTCGCCTCGGCCTCCCAAAGTGCTGGGATTACAGGCATGAGCCACCACACCGAGCCAATTTTTGTATTTTTAGTAGAGATGGGGTTTCGCCATGTTGGCCAGGCTGATAAGCACAATTTTTAATTTAGAAAAATCTATCAAGCTTTTTACTACTGGAAACTCAACATCGTATCCCTGGAAGCAGCTACCCATGGTGCATCAGGGATTTCCCATTCCTTCAGCCACCACTGACCAGACCAGAGTTTCACGGCTTCCATCTGGTTTAACCAAACATGTCCATTTCACAAATGAGGAAAGTAAGGCCAAAGACAGCCACGATCTCTCACATCTCTACATTTTAAGATGAGTGAGCTGCAGGGTACCTGACAGCGGGGAGGGAGGTGGGGGGTGGCAGGACAGAGGATTGTGCTGCACCACACTCTCCACTCGCTCTTGGTTGACTTTTAGTCTGACTTTGTTTTCGCTTTACTTTTACTTTAGCTTTTACTTGGCTCTTACTTCACTTTTACTTTGTGTTTCCTTCTGCTTTGCTTTCCCTTTGCTGTCCATTCTCTTGCTGGTGGCGGGGTGAGATACCTGCGTGGGGGCAGAGTTGCTGTCCGCAGCCCTGGAACAACAGAGCTTAGCAACACCCAAGCTCCCAGCACCCACTCGGCCTCAAGGTGGGGGCGAGGGCGAATGCAGGAACTTCTTCCTCTGGCAGATGGAGCCAGTGGGGCCTGGGGGCGAGCCTAGGTCTGCAGCAGTAAGGGCCACGCAGGAGGGCAGGGTAGGCTTAACTCCCACCCTAAGAGCAAGTGAATCTGGAGAGACAGAACCTCCCACCTGGGCCATGTAATAAACAGCCAACCAGAGAAAGACGGTCTCTAAGAGTCGCTGCAGGGCAGAGTAAACTGCACCAGGAAGGTGGGGTTGGGGAGAAGGCAAATCGGACATGGGGAAGGGGGTCTCGAGGCCACCCCAGCACCACACCACCCATGCCTGGGCACACAGGACTCTCAGTCAACATCCGCTGAACAAGGGAACGTCCAGTGAATCAGCCATTTGCACCTAACCAGAGGCTCAGAAAAGGGACTCTTTCTTGGCCCTTTGTGGGGTCTCTCTTTGAACCTGCCTGCCTAGGTCCATGCAATGGCATCGGGAGCCAAGACTCCCTTCCTCTGCTGCTCCGCAGCCAGACCTGGATGCGCCAGGACCTGCATGCAGGGCACGAGGAAAAGGCTTGGAACCTCCTCTCTCACCACTTTTTTTTTCTTTTAACTACCTAGTGTCATTTCTCACCTTGGGCCTTCTGAACCTCCACACAGGGCATCTCTGGCCTCTGTCCTCAGCTGCACCAAGTGCTAATTTCACTGGTGCGCTGGTAGCTCCTTCAAAGCAGCTAATTCTCCAATGAAAGAAACATAAAAGCTCCAAGACATCAGTCCTACCCAACAGCCCACACAGGACAGGACTGACCCTCCACTTGGCAAAGGGACTGTGGAGTAGAGTGAGGGGCCTTCCTTGTGTGAGCGCCTCCCTCCTCCTCGCTCCTGTGCTCTGGCCTTGGGTTGGCTGACCTGCACCGGCCAACTGCAAAGGTTTGGGGAGCTCAGAAACTCATTAACAGGCTCTGATAATGAGACCGTCGGAAAAGCCCAAGAGCTTGCCTGTCTAGGTAGACCAGAGACCAAACTTACACCTGACAAGTGGAGTGATCAGAGAGCTGAAACCCAACAGGCGACATCAGCTAGGGCAGGCGAAAGCATTAATAATTGATTCCATGGGTCATTCTGGGGTTTTCATTTTAGTAACTTGGCAAGAGAATTTTTATAAGTTGTGCTCCAAAAGAAATTAAGGCATTTTTCAATGAACCACCACCTCAAGTTGTCGAAACCCCTCCCTTCTGACCTCCCTTCAGACACAGGTAGGACAGGACAGTGCTCAGCTATTCTCGGGGTGGGGCAGGATCCCTGGAGAGGATGAGGAGAAGAAGGAGGAGACAGAGGAGTCAGGAAAGAAGGGGAAGGAGGAGGCGAGGGGAAGATGGGGAGGGGAAGAGCCCCAGCCAGTGCTCACCATTGTCGTTGTCTTTATGCAAGTGCTGGATCATGAAGGGGATGGGGTCCTCAGGCTGATGGATCAGGAGTTGCTCCAGCATGTTCTGTGGGTGCAGGGCAGACACCCAGGTGGTTAATACCTGCAGGGGCACCTGGTCACCATAGATACCAGCTACGGGGCCTGCTCTCTCCACTGCACCCCACCAAATGTGACTTCAACCTGGGACCCAGCCTCTGCCCCAGCTGGCATCTGCTTGGGTCCCCAGGAGCAGAGGCATGAGGGGGGCCACGTGGTACTGCTGCAGAGGCACCTGGGGGAGGCAGAAGTGGGGCACCCTGCCCCTGATTCAGAGCAGGCAGTCCAGGGCTCTCTCCCCTGGGGTTCTCTGGGCTTCCCAGACGAGCCTTCTCCAAGTTCTCAAGCATCACCGTTCCCCTCAGAGCCTTAGCGGATGCTGTCCCCTTAGCTAGGAAGCTTCTTCCTCATCCTCATCCTGGCTAACTTCTGCTCAGTCTCAGATCTCAATGGGAACATACCTTCTTGAGTATGTGCACTAGGCAAACACGTCAGATGCTCCTGCACCTGCCTGCGGGCATTGCCCTGTTCCATGCCTCACCCTGTTCCTACTCACCAGGCCACCATCCTCCCAGCAGGCCATGGGTTCTTTGGGCCTCCTTGTCTGCCTAGAGCCCTTGGCACCCCAATGCCTGGCAGTCATAGCAGATGGCCGGTGCAGATGTTTGCTGGGGAACACGACCATCACCACTCCATGTGTCCCTCCAGAATGGAACAGAATATTACCAGCCAGATTTCTAAATAGTCCTGGGATATTCTGGCCATTTCATCCAATCAGGCAAGCATATCAAGGGAAAGCAGAGTCTGGGGTTGCAGAATCCTAGGCACAGAAATGAGGAAGAGCTCACAGCAGCTGTGCTGCCGCAATAAGGGGCATCCTTCAGCCCCAGGGACAAGGAGGGAAGGGCTGTAGCCCTCTTGGAGTGAAGGGAGTGTGGGGCAGGAAAAAGAGCACCGAGCCGTGAGAAGTCTTGGTTCCAGCCCCACTGTATCTCACCAGCAAGTCCCTTCCCTTCTCTGGGCCTCAGCTTCTCCACCTGTTCAGTAGCACAGCTGGAGTGAACTCATGTTTGTATACCACTGGTGTGATAGAATGAGATGATTTTTGATGGTTCACACATAAATATTTTACATTTCATGTTTAAATCATTGTGTATTTAACGTATTGGAAAAATAAGTACATCAAATCAATAATTTTAAGGATATCACTTAGGATGAGGCAAAAGCGGCTATTTAATTTTTTTAAAGGTGAGTTGATTAAAACAAGTGATTAGTTTAAATTGGAGGTGCATTAGTGGTTATGCAGATCTGTCCATGTGATATAACTGCACAGAACTGTATGCACAACAAAAACATCAATGCAGGTAAAAATGGAGGAAATCCAAATAAGGCCTACAGTTCAGGTAACCCTCTTGTACCAATGCCAGTTTCCTGGTTTCGACAATGTGCTACAGTTATGTTAGATGTTATCACTGGGGCAATGGGGGAGGGGAGACCAGAAATCCATACTATTTTTTAACTTTCTGTGAATCTAAAATTATTTTAAAGTCAAAAGTATAAAAAATGGAAATGGTCAAAACCATGGAGGGAATACACAGATGACTAAGGACTGGAAATATTGGACTGAAAGCTTTCTTGTTGGGAGGCGGAGGCAGAAGGACTGTTTGAGCCCAGGAGTTCAAGACCAGTCCGGGCAACATAGCAAGACCTCGTCTCTACTAAAATTAAAAAAAAAGATTAGCCAGGTATGGTGGCCTGCACCTGTAGTTTCAGCTACTCTGGAG